ACATGCCTTGAATTGTGCTGCCATGCTTTTGCCTTGCCCTCTGTTGCTGTGAGTTGCAGTTCTGTAGGCTTTCTATGCCGACCGGCAGTGTAAAGTGCCGACCGGCAATAATTCTCTGCCGATAGCTTTATTTGTTGCCGATTGGTCACATGCCACTGCCGGTGGCAATTCCATTCAGCCGGTGGTGTTCTTCCATGTCCAAGAAGCAGTCCCGAGGTTTGGCAGCCTCCAGAGGGTGAAGAAGGAAAACAGAGGCAGCCTATGCATCGCGGGCGCGTTTCTCGAGGCGATTTTCCTGTTTTTCTAGCTTAAGTTATTTTGCTTAGTTGATTAGGCAATTTTTAATCTTAATTAGCTTGCGTAGTTAATTAATTTGTAATATTTATTTGTACCCTCCGAGGGAGGCAATTATGTAATAAGTGTGCGTGAGTGTGTGTATGTCTTCCAACCTCACCTTTCTTCCCTTTTATTTACCTGCTTATGATGGTAGATTAGGGCACGTTTAATTTAGCATACCTATGCTATGCATGTGTGCATCCATGCATTTGTACTGCATGCATTAGGCTCGGTACATCACGCTAACTGCATTTGTACTTCAATTCAAAAAAAATTGAATTTGTGATAGTTGATCGCATTCATATGCCATGCTTAGATTACCGAGCCTATCTAATTGCATCCTGTATGTGTTGCATTAGGCAATTTAACATGAACTAGGACACGCATGTTTGCTAACTAGTTTGTGTGTTTTGGCACGGAGTACGATGTAAGTATTTATGCTTTAGCATCCCGCATGCGTGTGAATGTTGCCATGACAGTATGCTTGCCATGCGGCTAAATGCTTATATGATAAACTGTTGAAATGCCTGTGGGTGAAGTTTGGATTTTTGAGTTGAAAAACTTCATTGAAATCCGTTATTTTGGCTTACTGCGAGTAGAAAATTCCAAAGCATTTTCAAAACAAACGATATGCAATGTTTCTTTCCAAATTAGGCAATCTAGTCTATACTTGTTCGCTGCGCGCATAACATAGTAATTCTAGGCTAATAAAATGGAATAAGAACACATAACGTTTTCAAAATCGGATATCATGTTAGTAGAGGCCGGTCTTCGGACCGGGCGAAAGGGGGTGCTCATAGCTGACCTTCCCCGATCGCACCTAAGCTCCCGATCCGAGACAACTCCCGGTGATGACGACATTGTGCCTTCGGCACCGAGTCAGGGTTTCCTAAATTTCCCCATTTTAAAAAATATTTAGTGGCGATTCTGTATCTGCAAAGCAGTCCATGTTTAGCATACTTTTTCAAAAAATCTGTTTCTCAAAACGATTTGCCAGATTTGGACTCTTTGGTTCAGATTACGAACCGCGACAACAAAAATCGCGAGTCCGAACTGTAGTAGTAGCATGAGGCCCTCGCGGGCGCGTCTACACAATGATATGGATTTATCATGATGGTTGGCGAATTAACAATGGTGAGTACTAAAGGAGAGGTCACGATATGTGAGATCAACGGTGAAGATAAATGTGTCTAGATACCCAATTATCCACACAAAAAAAAGAAAGCGAAAGGTGTACTTTTTATCCTAGTTGATAATTGCTTGAAGGACAAAATAAAAACAATAATAGCAATAATGCGAAGTGAGCGGATTGGTGTGTACAAATATGTACTTCTCAACTCTTTCCCATAATATTTTCTCTATCCTATTCTATTCACACTTAGACTTAATTTGGGAACTTGGTTAGAAGTGAAATTTTGGCTTTTAATAATTTGGAAACTTTTTGGTCATATTATTTCTTCTTTTTTTTTCCACATTTTTTCCCAAAAAAATAAAAATAAAATATCTTTTAACTAATTTTTCAAAACAAGCCTTAATCTATATATATATATATATATATATTCTGCAGTAAAAAAAAATCTTACCTTACCTCCTAACTTTTTTGATTATGACTATAAGCAAATGTAAAGTATCTTGTTAGTTGTATTAATATATTCAAAAGAGATAGAGACCCCAATTGAACTATTGAGAATTTTAATATTTTCTCGTGTGAGTTTTTTGATAATTTGATTCAGGATTTGATGCAAAATCATTAAATATTTCAATATTTAATTAATTTGTTTTTTTATTGGGAGGAATGTTGACTTTATAGCTTTGTATGATCTCGAACAAGGTAATTATTCAGTAATTTTAAATATGGACACGTGATATTTCATAGTATTATGATTAGTAAAAAAAGTAGGTAGATGGGATATCATGTTGAGTGATTGAGAAATATAAAAAAATATATTGAATGATAATTGATTAGAAAATATAAATACATGATACTCTAAAAATATTAAATAATTTTCTCTTGAACAAGGCACACCATACTCATATCAAACGAGGCATTATATTCTATAGTAAAATTTTAACCTTTAAAATTTGATTGAATATTATTAAATGAGAGTCGTCAAATATCAGCATTCTTTTTTATTTGACCCAAATGGTTCTGATCTAAGGCCGATAATAGTAATGCTGAACAAACATAGAGTTGGGTTGAATTTGGATTGGATGTGGAGTGAGTTTAAGTGGGTATTTAAGATTTAGGTATTGTTTGACATGTGTTATTTTAGCACATCATTTTATTTTGATCACATCACCTTTTTATCATATCATTTTAATCCCAACCTACATTTCAAATATTTTCGTAAAAAGTCAAAAAATATACTAATTTGGAACTTTCCAAACAGCCCTTTACTTATTTAGTAGTTTTTTTTATTTTTTGTATATACTTATTTTTATCTTTAATGACTTTATTAACAAATTAAAAATTTTAAATTTCTAGATTTAGTTTGACGAAACGAATTGAAAAATTAATTTTTTTAAAAAAAATTCACAAAAAAAAGAGGGCAAAAATAGTGGTATTTTTTTGGGCTTATTTTAGCTTTTTTTTTTTAATTTTTTTAAACTTTTTATATTCATCTAACAAATGTAAAATATATATATATATATATATATATATATAATTTTGAGAAAAGCCACTAAAAACAAAAATAAAAATATTAATAAAAAAGATGAGACTTTTTCAAGAGTTTCCAAAGTGTAAAAATACAAAAATATCTCGAGTAAGTCTAGATTGGCTAGGCTTAAATCTCTACAATCCCATCCTTCAACAAATTTCATAATAAAAAATATATATTATAAAAATAAAATAGGTAAATTATAAATATATTCTCTGAAATTTATTTAAATTACAAATTATCTCTGTAGTTTTAAAAATTATAATCTGCTCTTAAAGTTTTTAATTTCATAACAAATAAGTCTTTTTATTAATAAATCATCAAGCTAATTAACAGTTTTTATAATGTTAAAATTTTATTTCAATTAATAATTCATATAATTTTATTATTATATAGGAGAACAGTTAGAAATTTTATTTTTTCAGTTAATTCTGTTAAGTAAAAAATTCTAATAGGGAGGTATTTGTAATTTTTCAAAATCATAAGGAGCAATTTGTATTTTAAGCAAACTTCAGAGGGTGTATTTGTAACTTATCCAAATAAAATTAAGTAAATTATATAGATATAATTGTACTAATATATAATATTTATAATTTCATATAAAATTAAATATCAATAGGGTATTTATTGATAATTCCCTTTCCATCTTCTTATGTTTCATTTAATTTAAATTATTTTCTTATATTTTAATAAATTCTATGAGTGACATAATTACCAAAATATCCCTAATAATGATAGGATGAAGCACCAATTCATGTTCACAATGATAGTGTAAATGTTTCATAATATGAACATTCATATTGTTAATGGAAGTATTTACACTGTCAAATTTATTTATCTATTTATTTTATAAAATTACATATTCAATTGAGATTTTATTTGATAGATCTCGTTAATTAGGTTTGAAAAATATAAATTTCATTAAAAAAAATATGTACAACAATTCTAAATTTCTAAAGAAAAATATACAAAAAATACAAAATAGTCCAAAATACTACACACCATGTTGCTAAGGTTTAAAAAAATATTTAAAAGGGTAAAATTATTTATAAAATACCTTAAATATGATAAATAAGATTTGGTAGATCAAATGTCCAAATAATAAAACTTATTAGAATATAAGAATATGTTATGAAATAATTGAAATAAAAGTACTTGAAAGAAAATTTCCTAATAAATTTTCCATCCTGATTTTTTTTAAAAATAAATTAAAATAAACAAGCTGAATCAACTAGTGCACATCCATAGATGATAATGATGTGGTGCAATCAAGGGCGAACTCATAAGAAGTATTATGAGGTCAATCTCATGTATACTTGCTCTCTTTTGTTTTTGCTAATTAAAAGTTCATTTACCATCAATTGAGCCTTAGAGATGTAAATCCCACAATTCTATAATGGAGACTAATCTCTCAAATATAATAGGACCTCGACTACAAGCAACCAATTTCAAACTTTTTCTCAAGAGTTGGTAAAAAAAAAATTATCACGAGTCTAAAATATTACAAGATTATATACCCTTAATAATATTTTATTATTTATTCATTATAAACACATGTTTTGAAAAAATAAAATAATTACTCAAAAAATATAAGAGGGTTGCATTTTAGGTGACTATTATATGGCACCTCTAATTATTTCCTAGACAATTTTATGTAAATTACCAAAATTGCCCTTATATAATAATTAAAAAATCTAATTAAGGAACAATTTTGGCAATTCTTTGAGTAATAATTTAAATGTCAAAGCAAAATAAGAAAGAACCCCAAAACTATGAGAAATGACATTGAATCTACAAAGAAAGTAAAATATAACTGATTTTCATTTACATAAACATTTAAATTATTTACAAATCTTGTAAGCACACTAAACTCAAACCCTGCATAGACAGCTTGAACCCTAAGCAAATATCATGCATAGAATAATATTTATTTCCAAATTTCACCAGTTGGCAATGATTTTTTTTATATTATTATTTTAAAGCACAAATTTCTGCAAATTTCAATAACAGTAAGCATTTACAAGAAACTTTAATAAAATAAAATGTTACATTGTGGATACCCAAACAGATGATGAAAGTAAATAAATTTCTCTAATTTTGAAGTTAAGCTAATGAAAAGTGCATTCTTTCAACCTGTTGTCAGAAGTAACTGTTAAAATTCGCACAACACTACGGGGATACTTGTAGTCAAGAACTAACCACACCATGATTAGTTAAAAACTTAGAAAATGCAACTCGAGAGATCTTTCGGAAGTAATTTAATCACCTTTCCAACCTATGTGCCTGTGTCACCAACTAAACATATCATACAAGTGAATTGGGGGCTTTCAAGCTATTTGTCAAAAAGTACAAGAGAAAATATATGAATCAGCTTGTGGCAATAGCATGGGCCCTTGATCCAAATATTTGCAGCTTCATCTCAAAATAGAGTTCTCAAGGGTCTCACATTCCTTTTGTTTTCCTTGACAGAATTTGAGTCTTTTAGCAAAAATCCATCCCCGCTATTCTGATTCAATATTATCTAAACCCGTCTCTCCGGATGTGCAACTTCTGAGCCATTCAAATTCTCCTGCAAGATCGAACTCACATAAGCTCCAATGGTAGAGGGCAAATTCAGCAGAAAAGGACTTTTACAGGCAAAATGATCCATAGTAAAGATGCTGACTGGGTCTTCCAGGTCAGATTAGCCACCAAAGCATCTTAAGTTATTTATATAATTATATTTCATCTAATTCAATTACAGTCCAACATAAACCGATCTACACTAACAAAATATCAAACAAAAATTCAGATTTTCCGTGGCTCCCACCTCTACAACCTCCCTACCTCACTTCACTCATTTGAGAGCTAGCGAGACATTACCCATCAATAGTGAGCTTTGTGAAGAGTTAAGTGTTGGGTAGTGTGGATCCTAATTAGTATCTAATCACTCCACTTAATTGCATAGTAAGGGTATTATTTCCTCAAGTGACCTGTAACCCTAATACTACCTAAATGTAGTTAGAGGGGTGACTATCTCTGTATCTTGTTTTGTAACTCTTTCTAACCACAGTGGAACAGCAGTGACTGTTGATGTAGCCCTATGGTGAACCACGTAAATCTTGTGCGCATGTAATTTATGATTATTGTTTATTGTTGTTCTCTCCTTTTCGTGTCTCACAATTCCTAGTTAGGTGTCCTGCAAATCCTAGCATTAAAAACTACCATCCTCCAGGTAAACAACTCATGACACCTTTGGTTAGAGTTTCAGAAACACAAGTGTTGCTGAACTGTCTTAAACAAGGGCCCTCCAAATAAAACCAAAAAAAAAGTAGCAGCAGCCAAAACTAAGAAATAAAAAAGAATTCTACAAGATAGAAAGTACCATCAATGCAACATTCTTAACCCTAAGTTTCTCTGAATCTTCCATTAATTGTTTCATTTCAGATTTAAGGGTTATGTTTTCCACTTTCACGGTTTCATATCTCTTTATCAGTTTCTCAGTTTCAGCCTGAAAAGAAAAAGCAGATTGAACTAATAACATTCAATTGGGAAGCTGAGTTACAAAGGTGAAAACTAAAAGAATAAAAGAAATCATAACTTAAATTCTATATGCCTGCTTTCTTAACCTAGACCTCCTAGCAGATTGTTTGTTAGCGTGTTTCCTCTTCTCTCGTTTCAGTTGCCGCTCATCCTGAAGAAACAGACACAAAGCAAATAAGAGTTTGAAAATAATATTGCACCTCTGCTATACTCTGCAAGCTATTCTATATGGAAATGTTCGAACTCAAAGTCCCCACAAATATCTTTACAATGTTATAAACATAGCTTTAGAAAGCTGCACTATTAACTAGGTCTTAATACAAGCAATCTCTCAGCTAATTTTGGCTATTGAATTCAAAATTTTCCGTATTCCCTTACCACTCCTGTGGTTCATGCATTGTAGAACTATTTTAAGAGAAGGGCAAGAAAAGAAATGTTTCTTGCATCTATGGACAACCTGAAACATGTTAGTTCAAAGCATGACAAGTAATATCAACTACAGATGAAACATACTATCCTACTTTTTTCCAGTCTTCACAAGTCAACCCTGCAGCTGTAGTAGAAGCAACACAAGTTGCTCTGTTTTCTGTTTTCCAATTGGGAGTCTACTGGTTTTCCTGCAACATCTTCAGGAGCCACATTAATCCTCGAAATCCACCTGGAAGTTACATTGGCATCCTTTTCAGGTACAGACCTGGCCTGTTTATGGACTTTTACTTTGTTGTCTGTTTAAGAAACAATAAATAGCAAACAATAAGTTTGGAGACACAATTAGACAGTTTCTCTACTATCTTGGAGTGTAAACAAAGCTCCTATTCCATCATTATGTTCCAACACCAATATAAAGGCAACATAAGCCCAAGATTTTTATTCCAGAAGGCTGGCCCCTAAAAGCACCATCTCCTTTCAAATGCAAAAAAGAAAGGTATCATTATCTGCTTTTCTTCGCTCAATTTTTGATAGATTGAAAATGGTGAGCCGGGGCGGATATGCTCTCTTGCCATGTTTGCACTCCCTTCCCCCTTCCTTCCAACTAAACAAAGAATCTGTCTCCATTAAGGGAGGAAGGCATGTTGTCTTTCACCTATGTTACCAGAAAATGCTAATACCCTAGCGAATTACGTATTGGTACGCATGTTCTGAAACATGGTATACTTCTATTCTAAAACGGTAAATTTAGTGATCCAAAGTGATCCCAATTTTTTTTTTTTTCAATATATGTCCTTAAATGTTGCCTTAGGAGGAAAAAAAATCAAATATAATGAACTAAAATCTAAGGTGAGTTAAGTTTTGATAAGATAAAAAATCAAAAAAAAATGGGTTATAATACTTAAAGAAATTATTACATTTTATTGGATGTCTAATAATTATAAAAAATTACTTTAGAAATACCTTAAATTCTTAAGTATAATATATACAAGTCTACCTCTATTGTACCACATTTTAGAACATGTGACGTACCATGTTCATGTTCCCGTTCCCATTCCAGTCTCACGTATCGGAACGATCCACGTTCCAGGTAACATAGATCTTCCACGTGTTGGTTTGGTTTAGCAGGAAAGAAATAAAAGTTAAATGGTGTTATGTTACTTTATTTTACCATTATATTGACATGAAGATGTTTGTATGGCAATGATATGAAAGTAAAACACATCCTTCTTTCTTCCTCTCTACTCACTTTTGGGCAAATTGAAAATGGTGAGACACTAGAGATTTGTCTACACTTCACTACTCATTTCCCTTCCCCTTCCCATTTCCCCTTCCCGCTAAATGGAGGAAACTCTCTCCGTTCGCTTCATTTATTTCATTGCGCATTAAGGAAAGGAAAGGGGAAGCTTAGGGATGTTCGTTCATTTTACCATCATAATGTCAAATATTGATAACATGGTTTTTGAATGACAAAAAACAAAAAAGTAAGAGATAATCTTCTCATTTGTTCCTCTCCTTCCACTTCTAGGTAAAATGAAAAATGGTAGCCAGGATAGACTTGCTCACCTTCAAGTTTTCCTTTTTCCTTCCCCTTCAGTTTCTAAAAAACTAACAATACTCCTTTATCCTTCCCACTGTCCTCCTCCCTAATGTTCCCTCATATCAAACAAAGCCCAATGACAAAAAGAACTTAAAATATAAAATAAGACAGAATCCTTACTCGTGTGTTACCATCACTTGCATCACTGGAAACATCAATACTGCATTCTACCATGCACATGTCAGATCCAGAAGTCTAGGTTAGATCCAACAGAGCAATGATTAAAACAGGACTCATCCAACAGAGATACTAACTTAAAGCATTAAATGGAGCATGATTTCAACTCATGCACCAAGGGCATGGAAGTTAACTTATATGCCTCACCTAGTTTGCTCCCAGGAAATAATTAAGCAAACAGAAAAGCAACATTGGTTTAACAGACCTCTGTGATGCTCTATGGGCTGATCCTTCACCATCAACCTCAGCATTGTCATTGACTACTTGCTTAGTAACTCTGTCCAATCTTTTCAGCTTCTTTATTGAGCCTTGATCCATGTTGTATGACGAAGTAGAAAGCATTTGTGCACTCACAGGAGTTGCAATCTGCATGACAGTCTCCGAAGTAAGACTTTATGGCTGTAGAGCAAACTGCTACTTCAAGTTAATTATTCTAGCCCAAAAAATTCATAAATCATCACACTTCTAAGCTACGAGAATGTTGTGCAGATTTCACCTCTAAAGATTTTATGGACAGATTAATGGGATATTGGGAATATTGCAAGCATGGAGTAAAAAATTTCTGCAACAGAACAGGCTACTTTAAAGGATGAATCTGACTAGAGGAATTGTTTCCCATATCAGCAAGAGGAAGAGGGATGCAATGTGGTGATGTGTCATCGCACTAATAGTTTGAAAAGTAAAAAAATTTCAACAATCGTTGGAAACTAAGTCGCACCAATCATAGTTGTTGATGAATTTTGAATCGTATAAGTTTCTTGCTTCTATAAAGTAGAGAAGGTACTCTAGAACTATTTTGTGTTTACAATTCACTCGGATTTAAAACAACTTACAAACAGAAGTTTGCAAGTGGGGAACCGAAGTTCTAAAGGAAAAGCATGACGTACAATAGGAACTGTAGGATGAGTACAAACAACTCTAGGAGAATAGATGGCAGAGTAAGGCACCTCATATGGTGGCATCACATGCTGCAATAGTTATATGTCAAATAGAGAATGAGTTCAACAAATATTGCATTTGGAACACAGCTCCAAGCTAGGCATACAGAAATGCCATGTGCAGAAGATGACTATAAAAACTCAGATAACTCCAGAGTACCTGTGGTGGTGCCCACACATGAGGATGAGGAACATGACAAGCCATGGTTGCAGAGTTCAAATATGATGGTGGTATGGGTACTCCAGGCCCATAATATGCCTGAAAGTGAATCAAATTATTAAATTGCTAGTAAATTAAGAAAATTGGCAAAAACAAAATTTTCTGAACCTAAGGTTCAACTAAAGTAATTGCCGTGCAAGAAAGGAAGATGCTCCATAAAGGGAATAACTTGAATAGTTGCCCAGTCGGGATAGAGATGAATGTTTGTCTGGTCCTGCCAATGCCAATGGGTGGTCCAATTTCAGATCTTGAACTCCAAGAGTTAATCCGCCAAAGAAATAATGCAATAGACCTCTGTCTCTCATGCAGGCACACATCCATGTATCTATGTTGGATTAAAGTGTACATAAATAGTAGTACTGTTTGCTTATTACAATCATAATTCATAAACTATTTGTACATGCATTTAACAAAAAGGAGAAAAATCATTCATTTGTTGTTGATAAAGACATATAATCCCACAACAAAAACATATCAAGAACACATAACCTGTTTAGGTGGAGATGCTTTTTCTGATTTTGGACATGGTTTTTCAGATTATGGAGATATCATGTCTTCACTTATTCCCATGTAATATAAAAGTAGATGGCAAGAAGGAAAATAAAACTGCAAAAAAAAAACAAAAAGAAAAAAATTTCTGGAGTGAAGAAGAAGAAGAAAAAAGAATACAGCAAAAAATACATCAACCTAGCTTTGGTGACAGCTTCCTAATCAGGTCAGACAATTTTCTTTCCCTTTTTCCTTTGGTTCTTTCTAATCAATCACTGAACATGCCAAAAATGAAATTGTTCACATTTGCTCATGTAGTGTCAAAGAGCACAAAAAATGTAAGAAGACGAGAAATATGACTACTAACAAATTCTTAGACTTGTCGGAGGTTTTTGGAATTAAAGCTAAAAGTATAAATTCCTAACATAAAGATGATACAACCTAACTTAAAAGGGGAAGAAGAGCATAGGAATGGAGAAGGCTAAAAACATAACAAAGAGTGATGCCACTTGTGCTGAGATTGTTTGGGAACAACCTAAAATAGCATACTTATTGTTTTTTTTATCTTATTTGGGTCGCATCACCTCTTATTTGGGTTACATCACCTCTCTACTTTTTTGCACGTATTTTCATAAAAAGCAAAAGGTTACTAAAATCAATTATTTCCAAACAAAAATGTAAAGAGAGCATAACGGCTTAAACTTAAGATTTGTACTCAATGCACAGATTTTTTATCACAACCATCAGGTCAGCTATGTTATAGAACAAAGTGATTGCTACCAATAAATATGAAATGAATGCGCTCTCCAGGTGTGTAACAACCCCCATACTGTTTACTGATTTATGACTGCTTGATTACCGATAATCACCGATTACTGTTAAACGGAACGGATAATGACTGATAACTGACTGATAATTGAACTGATTAAAGTACTGAACTGACTGACTGAAATTGGAGACCGAATTGATTGAGTATATGCTAGTTAAATTGCATTCTATCTGTTTGACTGTATGATTATCTGTTCATGTTCATATGTTTAAACTGCTAATTGAAGGCCTTATCGGCGGCCGAACTAGAAACCGATTGATGTTCCGTGACCCTCATATTTAATGTGATTTTATGGTATAATTATCTGAAAATTGATTAGGTATGATTAAATTAGATTAAAATAAGCTAATTAAAGAGTTAGACTTAATTGCCGTTTTGCCCTTGAGTGGGCCACTATCTCATACACACACTTAAGCCTTATACTTGAATTAAAACACATTTGCTCAGCCATTTCTCCTTGATCTAGCCGAATTTAGAGAGAGAGGAAGTGAGAGTCTTGAGTTCATTTCAATATTGCTTAGAATTTGAAGAGAATTGAAGGTTGGTTGTTGCTTTGTGGTCCTACACTTGCCATTGAGGCTCTAGGTAAGAGAATCCAACCTTTATTGATGTGTTTGAGCTAGTTTCATGTGAATTTGTAGAGCTAAGTCATGATTTGGTTCATTAATGGTGGATTGAAGCTCATCTCTTGCATGCATGTTAGTATTGTTGCATGTTAAGGTTGATTACATGGACATTAGTACATGCATGCTCATATTGTTGTTATAGACCATGTTTAGGATGAGCATAAACAACTCCAGGAGAATAGATGGCAGAGGCACCCCATAAGGTGGCATCACATGCTGCAGTAGTTATATGTCAAATAGAGAATAAGTTCAACAAATATTGCATTTGGAACACAGCTCCAAGCTAGGCATACAGAAATGCCATGTGCAGAAGATGACTATAGAAACTCAGATAACTCCAGAGTACCTGTGGTGGTGCCCACACATGAGGATGAGGAACATGACAAGCCATGGTTGCAGAGTTCAAATATGATGGTGGTATGGGTACTCCAGGCCCATAATATGCCTGAAAGTGAATCAAATTGTTAAATTGCTAGTGAATTAAGAAAATTGGCAAAAACAAAATTTTCTGAACCTAAGGTCCAACTAAAGTAATTGTCATGCAAAAAAGGAAGATGTGCCATAAAGGGAATAACCTGAATAGTTGCCTAGTCGGGATAGAGATGAATGTTTGTCTGGTCCTGCCAATGCCAATGTGTGGTCCAATTTTAGATCTTGAACTCCAAGAGTTAATCCGCCAAAGAAATAATGCAATAGACCTCTGTCTCTCATGCAGGCACACATCCATGTATCTATGTTGGATTAAAGTGTACATAAATAGTAGTACTGTTTGCTTATTACAATCATAATTCATAAACTATTTGTACATGTATTTAACAAAAAGGAGAAAAATCATTCATTTGTTGTTGATAAAGACATATAATCCCACAACAAAAACATATCAAGAACACATAACCTGTTTAGGTGGAGATGCTTTTTCTGATTTTGGACATGGTTTTTCAGATTATGGAGATATCATGTCTTCACTTATTCCCATGTAATATAAAAGTAGATGGCAAGAAGGAAAATAAAACTGCAAAAAAAAAAAAAAAGAAAAAAAAAATCTGGAGTGAAAAAGAAGAAGAAAGAATACAGCAAAAAATACATCAACTTAGCTTTGGTGACAGCTTCCTAATCAAGTCATCCAATTTTCTTTCCCTTTTTCTTTTGGTTCTTTTCTAATCAATCACTGAACATGCCAAAAATGAAATTGTTCACATTTGCTCATGTAGTGTCCAAGAGCACAAAAAATGTAAGAAGACGAGAAATATGACTACAAACAAATTCTTAGACTTGTTGGAGGTTTTTGGAATTAAAGCTAAAAGTATAAATTCCTAACATAAAGATGATACAACCTAACTTAAAAAGGGAAGAAGAACATAGGAATGGAGAAGGCTAAAAACATAACAAAGAGTGATGCCACTTGTGCTGAGATTGTTTGGGAACAACCTAAAATAGCATACTTATTGTTTTTTTATCTTATTTGGGTCGCATCACCTCTTATTTGGGTTACATCACCTCTCTACTTTTTTGCACATATTTTCATAAAAAGCAAAAGGTTACTAAAATCAATTATTTCCAAACAAAAATGTAAAGAGAGCATAACCGCTTAAACTTAAGATTTGTACTCAATGCACAGATTTTTTTATCACAACCATCAGGTCAGCTATGTTATAGAACAAAGTGATTGCTACCAATAAATATGAAATGAATGCGCTCTCCAGGTGGCACCAGTTGGTAGTTAAATGATGGAAAGTTGTCTAATATGGTTGGTCATTCAAAACAAAGACTAATGGATGCACCAGTTCGAAGAAAATTCAATTCAAGTTGATGATGCTTAATGAGCAAGAATACTGCTGAATGAATTGCCACTCGAAGCCAAAAATGATGTATGGCAAAGAGACAATTAGATATTGATCCTAAGTAGTTGAATTCAAGACTTATTGAGTTCAATTACTTTTAAGAAAACTAAATATAGTGTAAAATATTAATATTTTTGATCATCCAAACTCCATCATACTGGCTTCATTGTCCACTTCTATTTCTCCACAACTATTTATGAGGCTCTTTTAACCCCTAAACACACCCCCCAAAAAACAAATTAAAATCAACAATAAATTCCATTCCTAAAAATCTCATAGGGATCTGAACAACACCCACCCTCCTACCACAAGGCACTTTGTCCAGAAATAAAAAATAAACAAAAAATTCACTCCTAAAACAGTAAAACATCTGAGAGAAACTACAACAACAATTAGATTCAAACTAGTCTTAAGGGCTCCGTAAAGTGTAGTCGTTATGTATACTTAAGGGGCCATATAGAGGTATATCCCAAAAATCGTAGTTCCTCATCTTTCTATCTGACAGGGCAACATGGGTTGGAGGGACTCCTAAAATCAGCTAGATTCAACTAAGCATGGCTTTTATAATAATGGCACAATCATTCCATGAGAATGAATATTGTACAAGTGGGGTGGAAGACTATTGACCTCAACGAGGAGGCAGGGATTAGTGCCCTATTTTTGTTTTGTTGAAGAGAGGAAAGGGCATTCAACAATATATATATATATATATATGTTTATCACTTCATGAGTTGAAATGGTTGAGGGAGGCATCGTCTCAAGCGGATGGGGAAAATTTCCGATTGGTGGAGGTCGGAAGCCCTAGAAAAAGGGACTGGTTCTTTAATATTGAGGTGAGAAGACAAGTAAAAAGCTTGGTGCACATTCCAGAAGCATAAGGGGGGATGTTTGGAGTGAATTAGCCCAGGTTTCCTGAAACTCTTTGTGTCAATGAGTGTTGTTTTCAAAGAAGGGAAATCCTTGGAAGTGGCCATAATTTCTCAATGGCCAAAGAACTCCATCACGGTGATCCAACAACAGAAGGATATAAATAGTGACATCGAGTTGCAATAATTGGGTATTTTAGCCACCAAAAAAAAAAAAATGCAGGGGATTTTGTGTGTTGTAACAGTTTCCATCTGTGGAGACGATTATCTACATCAAATTGTAAATGTTATCTTATTGGGGGTGAATTTATTCTTGTATCTTTTGTTTTTTAGGTTGTGTGGATTCTGTCTGTAGTTGTTGGGATAATAACTGCCAATTTTGAGTAGAGGATGGTGGATTAATTTGTTTGGTTGCATTAGGAGATGAGCTTATACTCTGGTGTACAGATTTTCCAATCTTGATAATTTGTCCTACTCACCATAGAAAAAAAAAATTAAATAAAAAAATTTCAAACTTTTAAGTGTTTCAAAGAGCATGTATGTAGTAGTTCCACTTTTATTACTTTTCCATCATATATCCAACTTTATAACTAAAAAAACTCAGTTTTCAACACACACACACACACAAAGACAAAATAGAAATTACAAAGATTACAACTTCCTACTTAATCAAGCATCAAGATCAAAATAACGAGTTTGAATTATCGGAATACATAACAAACCAACAGAAGATACACTAAAAACCAAAACGCAACTTCAACGTACCTCTATATATCAGAAAAACAATCCGTGGAACTCGAAAGAAAAACCCTAACCCTAGCTCGTCGTTCTCAGCATTGTCTTTTTTTTTGGTTCTAGCAAACAGTCACTCTCAAGAATCAGAGAGAGAGAAGGCAGAGGCCACGTCAGGTGACACGTGTTGGTGTTACATAAGAGAGGAAGAGAGAGAATCGGAGCTGAGCTTTAGATAGGTTTTTTTTTTAACTGAAGGTGGGGAGAGGAAAAAATGCTAGGGACCGGGCCCTGTTTGGTTTGTTTTTGAGAAAAAAATTTGAGAAATTTATTTATAAATAAATTTTTAAGAGTAATCAAATTAAATAAATTTTTTTAAAAAAATATTAAAATTTTGTTTGGTTATCTATTTTTCAAAATCACTCCCTCTCATACACATCAAATCTATCATTTTTTTTAAAACTCTCGCCCTAAAATAATTTTTTAAAACTATTTCTAAAAAAAGACAAATCAAACAAATTTTCATACTTTTTATCTCAAAAATTACTCGACAAATACAAACCAAACACACCAAAATGTTTCCTGGGAGTTGTTTGAGATAGATTAAGGCCTCGTTTGGCAAGAAGCTGTTTTAGCCAATTAGCCAAAAAGTTACTAAATTAGCCAAAAAGCCAACAACCCATACCAAAAAGTCAAAGATTCTCTTTTCTCTCTACTTTTTGCACATCTTTTCGTAATTAGCCAAAAAGTCATCCCAAACATACAAGTTTTTTTTACCTACCTTTTTAGCCAAATAGCCAAAAAGTTACTAAATTAGCCTGTTCCCAAACGAGGCCTTAATTGTGGGACTAGAGATTCTTATTGGATTACAAGTACATGCAGTTGACATATTTGGAGATTCTCAATTGGTGGTTAACCAAGTGAAAGGAATTTTCAAGTGTCAAAGCATAAGTATCATACCATATTATGTTGTTGCATTACATTTGCTTTCTCAGTTTCAAATAGCAAATGTAACCCATGTTCCAAGATTCTTGAACAATAGAGCCAATGATGTGGCTCAAAAAGCTTCGAACTTCAAGAGAAGGGATAATACCCAACGGGACATAAGCCAAACAACATATCAGAAATTAATTCAACCTTTGAATAAAAGGAATGTGATCTTAGAAGTCAATCATAATGACTTACAAGAACAATACTTGAGAGAAAGTTGAGTCGGTGGTTGTTATGGTGATGTGGTGCTTCTGCCGATTGATTTTATTGATGCTTTGGTGTGTCTATTCGAACTAAAATAGTGGTATAGAATAAAATTAATTATTTAAGTTAAATAAAATAAAATATTTTTTTTCTTGTAAAATTAAAAAAATTATTTCAAAAATACTTTTTAATCTCAAATTAAAATAATAAAAAAAATTAAAAAACAAAAAAATCAATTCATCCTTTCTCTTTTGCGGTACATGTGGCGCTTCTGCAAGCGGCCTAGTGTTACTACCCTGCTAGCTGGCTTCCAGCTAATGTACTCCCCGTCATGGACTTTTGTTGACTTATTTATTGAGACCAAAAAAAAAATTTTGTTAAAAATTCTAAATAAATTATTTAATATTTTAGATAATAATTTAAGATTTCATTTAAAAATAAGTTATTTTTTTAATTTTTTATGAAAAAATATATAAAAAATACAACTTTTTAATTTTTTACTAAAATACTTAGTCTCTAAATAAGGCCTAAGTAGGTGTGGATATCATATGTAGAGATGGTAAAATTATTCAATTTGGACTTATTTTGGAAACTTGGCTTGACTTTTGACTTATTTTGAGTCATATTACATCTCAATTTTTTTATACATTTTGTTAAAAAAAACTAAAAAAAAAATTTAAAAAGTCCACTTTTAACATATTCCTCAAAGCAAGCCTTGATTGTTGTCTCAACCCAATTTTAATTAAAAAAAACTTAGGCGCACATTGATAAATTAAGAGAAAATATAGTGTGTAGGAAGATCAAAACTGTCAGGATTAAATTAAAGTATAAAATTATATTATTAAAATAATTTAGTTTAAAATCAATAATTTGAGCACATAATCAAAAAAAATTTAACTCATTGTCGTCTCTAGTATCATGTTTGGTAGGTCTCACACTTATGTTAGTATTTGTTAAATATTTAATAATTTATTTGAAGTCATTAATTAAAAAATGAATAGCCTTGTTATTGGTCAATAAATAGTCACAAATCAAATTAAGTAAATAAATTTTGTAGTTTATTAATTGAACATAGTCCATGTTGGACGTAACAAACAAATCAAATAATTGATTTGTGTTCGACTAGTTAAAATCTTATTCAAGTTTAGCTTGTTAAGTAAATAAGTTAAATTTACAAACATTTTGGAACTTGTTAAAGTGTTTAAACCAAAGTTAAATAGTTAATTGTTTGTTCGACTCGATTTGATAAGCCTAAAACTATATAAAAATACTAAACTACTCGATATTAGCTCAACAAAAGCTCATTTCAAATTGATTTGAAAGTTTAACAAACCAAACTTGAATAATTTTTTTAACTTGTTAAAAATTTCAAATTAAACTTCAGTTAACCATTTTACTCATTTATCACTCAGAATCCATATTACAAAGTATTGGCCCTGTTTGGTAGAGCTGTGGAAAAGTACTTATAACTTATTCCTTAACAGCTTATAGCTTATAACTATGAACATAAGTTGATTTCTGACTTATAAATTAAGCATCTCCTGCCCCACTCAAAAAATAAGCTGATTTCTGACTTACAAAAAGTTGTAAGCTGCATTGTTAAGCTAAACCAAACACATCAAAATAGCTTAAATTAAGCTGAAAGTTGAAATAAGCAGCTTTTAAGCTGCACCAAACAGGCACTTTATCACATGATATCACGTTACATAATTTACTAAGGCTTGGTTTGGGATACCAAAAAAAAATCTAAAAAGCCAAACAATTATTAAAAAAGTGTGGGGATATATTTCTGAGTACCAACACATGGCAAGGAGACGCCGATGTGTCAGCCGAGGTGCCACGTGTCCTAGTCATTATGCCGAGATTATTTCGGCGTTGCCGAGGTTATCTCTGAAGATATCAGAATCCGAGATAAACGGATAAGGGACAAGAGTCCGAGAATAAAGAGGGGACTTAGTCAAGATAAGGATAAAACTCTTAGGGAGTTTATCTTTATCTCTTGAAGAGTCCAAAGTAGGTACTGAATTGGAGTCCATAGAAGTTAGGCTTCTTGTGAGACTAGGATTAAGTAAACTATAAAAGAGAGGCACCCCCGTGGCTCTAAGGTACGCAATTTATGCTTTGAGCAGTAAAGTTTTGCACTTGATTATCTTTGAGAGATATACTGACTTGATCGTCGGAGTGCCCCTAGGTGGAAGAGCCACCGCCGGAGCCTTCTCTTTCTGTTACAGGTTAACTGAAGCCATCTATTCTGCCGGTGCTCTCCAGCTAATTACTAAACGGGCAGTGTGATCAGAAAATTACTCATACAATTTGGCGCCGTTTGTGGGAACTTAGAAGAATAGATGGCCAGTAACGGACAGAAAGAAAAGATTGGGGACGACACTCTTGCTGGGAGTAGCAGACCAATTGACCTTGACGTTGAAGGAGACAACCACAATGCAGAAACTCATAACCAGGGCCACGGAGAGAAAGACGTCGGCCAGGAGGGCGACACTTCGAAAAAGGCAGACCAAAGCAAGTACTATAACGAAGATAACCTCCAGGTATGGAGAGATAGGTGCCTACGGAGGGATGAGGAAGTAAAAGAATTAGCAACCAAGTTGGCAGACCTATAGTCGGTCGTCAACTTCATGATGCAAAACAATGTCATGCAGCCACCATACCCGCTGCACGATACGCCGATTCCAGCAACTAATACCCAGAAGAGAGGAAGTAAAACAATTCCTGAAGCCCCTCAGCACACCAGAAGCGGAAGGCACTCTCACCGATCTTCTAGGGAAGTCGGACGAGAGGAACCAAGACGAGAGGAGTCCCGAAGGACGCATCACACGAAGGACCCAGAACCCAAAGAACATCGGCATGTTCAAGGGCAAGCGCTCTGCTTTTACACAATCCATGGAGAAAGATCAAAACGGGCCCACCACGAGACCGAAAGTAGTGTGTCGAAAATATTGAAATCCAAAGACAGCCGAGCTCCGGGGAGGAGTAAAGAAGACTTGAGAGATTACCTCAAGAGGAAGCAACAGAATGCTGAAGTCGAGGTAACTTCCCTGGCTAAGCCGAGGACACCATTCTCAGCGGAACTAGACAAATTTGAAGCACCAAAGAGATTCAGTATGCCGAGGTTCCAAATATATTATGGTAAGTCAGATCCCAACTTTCATGTTGGACTATATCTGAATTCAATGGCATTATATAGTGGGAACGAGCCGTTGCTCTGCAAAGTATTCCCTTCATCCTTCAGGGAGATTGCATCAGATTGGTTCCATAAACTACCAAAGGAAAGCGTGAAGACTTGGGAAGGCCTGGCCGAGATGTTTGTGGCCAGGTTTGTGACGAACAAACTACAGCCCTTAAGGGTCGATGCACTGATGGCTTTAAAAATCACCAAGGATGAAGGCCTTAAGGCCTACGTAAAAAGGTACTATGAGGTGTTCAATCGAATACCTGATTGCAACCAAGAGGTGGTGGTCGTATCCTTCAAGAACAGCCTGAAAGATGACTGCCCACTATGGAAATCTTTGGCAAAGACATTGCCAAAAAGCATGGAAGAACTCATGGCGAGAATCAAGAAGTACGCCAGAGCCGAGGAGGATACATCGAGAAACAAAGAGACAAAGCAGGAGAAAGAAAACGGCTTGCCGAAGCGAAGCCGAGGTAACAATGGACCGATCAAGCAAGAAACGGACTTGAGGGCTAAACAGGCAGTAACGACTGTATTCCGAGTCCCGATCCACAAAGTTTTGGATCAAATACGAAACCAGCCCTATTTCAGAGCACCGACAAGAACACCAAGGGAATTTATGGAAAGAAACGTCGGTAGGCATTGTGCTTACCACAATGAAGAAGGGCACCTAACTCAGGGTTACAGAGCCCTAAAAGCACACTTAGAAGACTTGGTGAGGCAAGGCCATCTGAGGGACCTTGTCAATGAGGCCAGGACAAGGGAAGAGCAGGCAAGATTGCCTCAAGCACCAGCAGCTCCGCCTCCCCCAGCACAGCAACCACAGGTAGGAGGACTACGGGTGGTTAATGTAATTCACTCAAAAATGAACGAAAACGACATACGAGGGGAGACCCAGAAGGT